CTTGAGCTCTGCCACTATTGTTGACTTGTGAACATTTGGTGAAAATTCTAGCTCTTTTTATGTATAAATTATTATTGTATGTATAAAACTTTTTAAAATACAGTGTTTTTCAAAATCCAGTGAATCATTTATAATAACCATAATCATTTATGTTTAATATATATAAGGGTTGCAATGCTACTGAAGAAAGTCAGGGAATTCAAAAATTGGCCAAATTCAGGGAATTTAAATATTTTAGACAAAATCTGGAAAAGTCATACAAGGATCCCTAAAAAAGTTTTTTTTTTTTTTTTTTTTTTTTTTTTTTTTTAAAGCCAGTGTTGCAAGCAGGTCATTTTCTTCACAAATTACCTTAGCATGATTCAGGCAGCTGATGTAGAGCCAATTATTGTGCACCTTTCAGATTGTCTTTCGTAAAGGTAAAGCAAATATCCAATAATCTCCAGAGTCCATAGAGTATGACTGTGTGTTCTTGCAAAGAACAAGAAATCTTTCTCTCAGTGGTATAGTGCATGTGAATGAAAAAAAAAATTCTGCTCTTGGTTTGGAGAACTCCCAACTTTCAGCTAATTTATTTTTTTATTGTTATCTCCAGTTAAAAAATCTGATAAGTGGAACTTATCAGATTATTAAGTGACGTTTTTAAAAAATAGGTTTACTGTACACTGTCTACTTTACACTATTTTTACTACAAAAATAGGTTTACTTACACATTATTAAGTCACGTTTTTAAAAAATAGGTTTACTTTACACTGTCATATTTGCTTGTTAAAAGGATAAGAATTCATGCAGTGCATTTTAAACTTAAAAAAAAAGTGTATTGATGCCTTTTGAATCAGATTATTGGGCATTATTAAAAAAAATCAAGTTGAATTGTTAAAAATTTTCAGTATCATTGGCAGCTTAGATATTTCATGATTATTGGACTTAAAAATTATGCAAGAAAATCTGATACTTTATAAATTACATTAAAAAAAATTGACTTGCCGATTACCTTCTGAGAAGTTTTCTTGAGAGAGCTTCGGAATTAGATAAAAGAAATTGCTCCAAGTATCCTAGGATGAACTAAATTTCAATCTGAAATTCCTCAGAAATGTAAAAGAGAATTTAGTAAATAATAATGACTTGTGTCATATATTAGGTATTGGGTCCTATGGTTTGCATAGAGGTGGGTGTAAAGCTACTGAATGGCACACTAAATGCATTATTTAAAGACATGCATACATTATTTAAAAATAGTCCTGCTTGGCTTTATATTGCTGTTACTAATTGTATGTTTTTTGCCCTAAAATTTTGTGAAGTTGGTGTAAAACATACCTGTTGCTGAAAGAGCTATTGATATCTTTTTTCATGGGAAAAAATATGTATATCTGAACTGCCAAAAACCAGTGCCAGCTGAAAGATTGAGAGAAACTGTTAAAGATAAGTTTTTTTTTTTGGCAAAAATGTCTCTTTTCATTTCTCTTTTGGAAGTTCTATATCTGTGTCTAACATCTTTCCGGACAACTGATTCTATGTGTCCCTGTTTACATACAACTTTTCACAATATGCTAAAAAAGCTTCTTTCAAAATTTGTCATAAGAGATTTACTGAAAGAAGCAAAAACTTCTGTAAATTCATAAAAACAGATATTTTGAATCAAACCAACTATTGTAATGTTGTAGATGTTGATATGGGTTGCTAAAAGTAGAGTATCTGATCTAAAGGGAATTTAGAACTCAATACTGAATCTTTTTGTTTACACTTACATAAAAAAGAGTTGAAAGAAGCACATTAAAATATAGCTTACTCAGATACATACTATCTTAATTAAATCCTAAGCTCCTTATATCTAATGAATTTTTTTGTAAGAGAAGGATGGAGAGGTTATTGCATATGCTGTATGAAAGTGAATGGATTGATTCAGCAGCTGCAGATAAATCAGAACTGAAGTTTAAAGAGTTGTTAATCAGAAGTAAGGATGTTTGGAAACACACTTTTGTTAACTATGCTGCAGCATCGCATAATCACTTTTATGAGGACTTGATTAATAATTTAGATTTTGATGAAGTTTGGCGTACTGTAAAACTAGTTTTAATTTTATCATATGGCACTACCACACTAGAAAGTGATTTCTTAGTTACTAATGATATGTTGGTGGAAAACCTTCAGGAAAGTTCTTTAACAGCAATGCAAACTGTTTTGTGATGCCATAAAAGTAAATGGAAGTGTGATGAATATTAACATAACTACTGATATGTTATGAAATGCCAGATCTGCTCATGATGCATATCATCAAGCATTCAAAAGGATAGTGAAGATGAAAGGATATTATTGAACAAAAAGGAAATTAACATAACTACTGATATGTTATGATATGCCAGATCTGCTCAGGATGCATATCATCAAGCATTCAAAAGGATAGTAAAGATAAAAAGGTATAATTGAACAAAAATGAAAGCACAAGCACAGATGAAAATTTTGGAGTCCAAAAATAACAAAAATTGAGTATTTTCTTTAATTGACTCGCAGATTTGCAGAATTAAAACAACAAATCTAGTTTTCTACTAATTTTCATTAGTATTTTTTCTATTAATGTTTTGTCTTAATATTCTAAATACCCCCCCCCCCGGTGTCCACCGAAAACATCGCAGTTCTAAAACATCGTAGTACAAAATACTGTCGTTGAAAATAAAGCGGTTAAAAAATCATATAATTAGGTTTTAATAATTTATAAATGGATATTCACATAATGAGAGCATCAGATTAACAAAAGTGAAGAAAATGATCTCATAATTAAGTTAGCAATTTTTTTATAGATAAGGTCATGCAGTTACTTATCTTTCTTTTTCTATTCCTTTTTAGATGATACTTTTCATGAAAAATTACCAGTAAAACTTTATAAAAAAATAATTTATTAATGACCTTTGTTAGTTAACTATGCCCAGTTTAAAATTCTATTAAGTGCTATAAGTTGCATTAATTTTCCATATTACATTTTCAGCAAATATTTATTACAGTCAAAAGTCGTTAATCCGGACTCGTCGGGACTTCGGCGATTCCGGATTATCGATTTTTCCGGATTATAGATCATCAGTTTAAATCTCGTAAGATGGCATGCAGAAATTCTAAAATTAAAAATATGAAACCGTAATTTATGAAATAAAGAACAATTATGATCTAAAGGGTATCAAAATTTGCAAAAAGAAAAAGCTTAATATTTATTTGTTTACTTTATTAAACATTTCTTTCAATGTAAGTTGTTTAAGTTTTGCTTCGTTTCATGTGATAATACTTTCTCTTTAATTCTATTAAACAGACATAATTTCTTGTTCAGTTACAAAGTTCCGCTGTTCAAGTCCTATAATTGCTGTGTCGAGAACACCGACTAATTTGTCAATCGAAATTTTTTTCGTTTTCAATAACCTCTGTTCACTTTCTTCGACTATCGGAAGCGAATTATAATGACGAGGAACTTGTTTTAAATCATATCAAAGACGGAGCATGCATCGAGATGAAATACTACATTTGGTTAAAGCAATTATAAGCCAAATAAAATAAAAACATCTGCGCTTGAAGATAAGGATAGTGATGACAGATCAACTTCCAAATTCATTACGTGCGCCGAGGCGTTCCCCCCGCCGAAGCAGCGTGAAATTGATAAACAGATTTCGGATTTCGAAACATACTTTCGCTTTAGATCCTTTACATATTAACAAATATATATCGGAAATTCTATTTGATATAATCGAAAGTTTAAGCTTACTTTTATAAAATTGCTCTTACAGTCTGCAAAAAATAATAAGCCGGATCCAATTCGAAAATTAAGGAACAACGCAATTATCAACATTAACTGAAATAGATAATTAGATAATTTTAGCTTATACGTCCATCATACATAAAACGCGCACGCGAAAACGTATTCTGCACTTGCGCACACTCATATGCGCAGTCGTAAAAGATCTAACGCGCACGCGCAAACGCCTATGCGCATGTGTCAACGCGGCGCATGCGCAGAAAGTTTTTAGTTTTGAGGTCCGGATTATAGATCATTCCGAATTATGGGTGTCCGAATTAACGACTTTTGACTGTAGTTAACAAAAAATATGAAAGCAAAATTATCCTTCTTTCCATCTTGCACTCATAGATCATTATGCGATGATTTGTAGGTACTTTATTTACCACAATATTTTTGACGACGATGTTTTTAAACTGCGAAGTTTTTTAACCGCTTTATTTGTACTGTACCATGATTAATTTACCTTCAGCACTGCCCAGCCAATGTGCAATAGATAGCTAGACTGAATTTTTTTAAAACACACCTGAAAAATTGAGGAATTTCATTCTCCTGTTTGAATGGCAACCCTGAATATGCAATATATATATATATGTGTGTGTGTGTGTTTGTGTATGTTTGTGTATGTGTGTGTGTGTGTCATAATTTAATGTATAGAAGAAAACACTGGAACTTTTAATAGCTTTTGATATTCGTCATGACTGAAAAGACAGTAGTGGCTATGATGATAGAATTAACACAACTGAGCTTGAAGAATTCCCAATCTTTATTTTCACACATATAAAACCATCTTAGTAGACATTTATCCAATCATAATGAAATATGATAATTTTTATGTGCATGGGTTTTAAAAGTATGACGTAAGCATTTTGGCCAAGACACCATAAGCGACAGGATAGAAGCTGAGGAAACAAATGACGCAGTTGTTTTGCCAAGAATATTTATAATAAGTATGATGCTTAAATACAGCTAATCTGTGATTGGTTAATTTAGGTTGTTATGTAACATGGAAAGATCTCAAATTTGAGAGAACAGATGAATTTAGAGGGGGAGAATATAAAATCTAGAATAGTTAATTTTGAGGTCACCAATTATTCTTAAAGCAGTCATCGTATTTCGTTATATCTTACATATATATATTTTTTTAAATTGTTAATTTCTTTATGTATAATTTTAAAAACATATTTATAACATTATTATTACTGTGCATTATTGTTTTTTTCAGGGTGTCACGTTTTGGTCCATTGCTTGCCTTTTTTCTTTCTTGACAAGCATCATCTTATTTATATTTGTGAATGAACCAAGATCTGTTATAATCTATGGATATTCTCATAAAGTTGCTGCTTCTGTATGTATAAAATATGAAACGCTTTCTAAAATGTTTTTCAAATATCTTATGAAATCAAAATTGTTATTTCTTGATTATTGCTTAATTTTATATAATGTTGTACTATATGCTATAATCATTCTAATACATTTTGCATTAAAACACTTGAAAAGCAAGTGCATTTTCTGTTTGCTTTGGCAGATAATGAAACTGAAATGTTTACAACTGGAATGGAATGACCCTTAAGTGGTCAAGTGCCATCTTTGAGACTGTTTCATTTATAAATCTTCTGGATGGTTTACAGAATGCAGATTTAGATACCTTATAGAATTTATAGTTGTAGAGATGCTTTACAGAATTTGTAACATAAAAAGGCACTTGATGTCTGATTATATTACAAATTCTGCTTGATGAGGTCAAAAAGTAATATACATTGTGGCAAATAAAGATTTTGAAGATACTATTTTGTTTCAGTGAAACTAAAAATGATCTGAGGGATGCAGATGATTTTCAGAGGATGAAGATATTGAATTTGAAGTTGTTAGTGAATCAATCTTAATAGAAAGTACTGAAGATAGCAAAAATGAAAATGTTAGAAATGAAGAAGATTTAGACAAAATTAAATATATACAGTACAAAATCCGTAATCCGGACTCGTCGGGACTTCGGCAATTCTGGATTATAGATCATCAGTTTAAATCTGGAAAGATGGCATGCAGAAATTATACAATTAAAAATATGAAATCATAATTCATGAAATAAAGAAGCAATTATGATCTAAAGGTTATCAAAATTTACAAAAAAAAAGCTCAATATTTATTTGTTTACTTTATTAAACATTTCTTTCAATGTAAGTTGTGTAAGACACTTCCACAAAAAATTCAAAAAGTTCCTTTTTCTTGTGTCATATGCAGTGGACTTTCCAATACCATACTTCTCGCATAATTTTGAGACGGATAGGCCTTTATCCATTTTTTGCAGGAATTCCACTTTTTGTTTAATGGACATCGAAACATGCTTTCGCTTTGTAGATCCTTTGGCAGCTCCAGAATGGGAAACTCTTTCTGACATAATCGAAAGTTAAAGCTTAATTTTTATAAAATTGTTTTAACAGTCTGCAAAAAATAATAAGCCGGATTCAATTACACTGGCTATCATAAATTAAGGAAAAATCACAAAAATAGCGATAACTCCCTAAAAAATAAGTCAAACCGTGTAAAATTTGAATATGTTGTCGAGTGAGAAATTCACAAATATACTGCACCAATATACATCACAAATATACTGCTGGGTAAAACTGCGATATGCAATTAGTGGCGCTGCTTTCGGAATACGTCAACTTCGAGGAGCATAAAAGTCCATGTTTTGAGAGCAAGCCCACATATTTCACTGTGACAGTGACATCAGAAATCTGAGATAGCCAATTCCTAACAATGACCTCCAGGCATCATTTACTTGCAGAACTGCGATGGAGAGCCATTGTGAGACTAAAGGCAGCACAAAGTCAAACAGAAGTGGCCAGATGGCTAAATGTGAGTCCTTCTGTGGTTCATAGACTTTGGAGGCAATTTCAAACCACAGATTCAGCATCTAGGAGGTTTAGCCAAGCACAACCAACTGCTACAACGAGCGCCGATGACCGATATTTGACATTATGTGCATACAGGAATAGAACCACTACTCTGACTCTTCTTAGATCCTCCCTTGCTGCAGCCACCGGAAGGTTGGTGTCAACGTCAACTGTGCGTAGAAGGCTTCACGAAGGTGGTCTGTATGCGAAGCAACCAGCCATTTGTGTGCCGCTCACATCACGCCATAGGAGGGACTATTTTCAGTGGGCACGACAACATGTCCACTGGACGCCTGATCAATGGAGGGCAGTTCTCTTTACGGATGAGTCCAGGTTTAGTCTAGAAAGCGATAGTATGCGTTATTTGATATGGAGAGAACCTAGAACTCGTTATCATCCATCAAACATTCCGTGAAAGTGATGCATACGGAAGGGGTAGTATCTGTGTTTGGGGTGGCATCTCTTGGGTGGACGCACAGACCTTTATTTTTCCAAGGGGAACCGTGATGATCAGATTTATAGAGATGACATCCTTGATGTTTATGTGCACCCATATGCCAGGGCAATAGGTGATGCTTTCCTGTTACAGGACGACACCGCAAGACCACACAGGGCTCGCATCGTAGATGATTATCTTCAACAGGAAACAATTATGTGCATGGAGTGGCCAGCTTGATCCCTGTACTTGAATCCTATCGAGCATGTTTGGGATGCTTTAGGGAGACGTCTAGCTGCTCTCAATCCGTCCCCTTAGACCCTTGTCGTGCTTGCAACTGCTTTGCAAGAGCAATGGCTCTCGCTTTCTATGGAACTGATAGACCGCATAATTGAAAGCATCACACATCGCTGTATTGCTTCTAGAGGCGATCATATTCCATATTGAAGGTACTTTTCCTATAGCAAACTGACACCTTCGATTTGTTCATTTTATTTATGTGCTAATTTCTGTACTACCAATTTTTCTAGTAATTCTTTTATGTTATTTGATACCTTACTATGTGTTGTATTGTGGGTAAGTTTCATTAAATTCTACATGTAACTTTTTCAGTAATCGTGATTTTTCCTTAATTTATGATAACCAGTGTAGAAGATTAAGGAAGAGCACAATCTGCAACATTAACTGAAATGCCTTAGATAATTTTAGCCTAGTTTATACCATCCGTTATACATTAAACATGCATGCATAAACGCATTATGCGTTTACGCACATAAAGTTTGTAGCTTTGAGATCCGGATTGTAGATCATTCCAGATTATGGACAGCCGGATTACAGACTTTGTACTGTATTAAGGAAAAAATTGCTGCAATGAGTGTACTTTAAAAATTTGTGCAATGCCATTGACAAGAAAATGAAATATAATAATTAAACTTCAGTTTTGCAAAGAAGAGTTGAATACCTTGTAAAAAAATTCTGTTTTATGTGTGACAGTTATTATCACATCATATATATGTAATAAAAACAAATTGAGAAGTACTGATGTAGGAACAGAGACGTAGAAATGCAGAAATATCAATGGTGCAGCATGTAGATATCATAGAACGTAGATCCATATTGAAGAGGAAAAATTCTGATTGCAGATAATGCTAAAATGTTGAATCTATAATGATTACAAAACTTGGCAGCCGAGTAAGATTAAATGTTCATTTTTATTTCAATTAACATTTGTGACCACAATTCATATGCCACACTTTAATCATATTGGATATTGGGTATGAATCCGAAAAAGTTATTACCACTTTTGAAATACAGAGAGAGAAAATACCCAAGTTAAATATGAGGAATTAAGAGGCTGTTGCTAAATTAATTATAAAAAATTGTTTACATTTTTGTAAAAATCTTACATATACATATATATATAGTCAAAAGTCTTTAATCCGGACGTCCATAATCAGGAATGATCTATTATATGGACCTCAAAGCTACAAACTTTCTGCACATGCATCAACGCATGCGCATAATACCTTTATGCATGTGCATATGCATCTATGCATGCGCCTAATACGTTTATGCATGCGCGTTTAATGTATAACGGATGGTATAAGCTAAGCTAAAATTATCTATTTCAGTTAATGTTGCAGATTGCGTTGTTCCTTAATCTTCTAATTGGACCTGGCTAATTACTTTTTGCAGACTGTTAGAGCAATTTTATAAAAGTAAGCTTGAACTTTCGATTATTTCAAAAAGAATTTCCGATTCTGGAGCTACCAAAGGATTTAAAAAGCGAAAGCATGTTCTGATGTCCATCAAACAAAAAGTGGAATTGCTGCAAAAAATGGATAAAGTCATATCCTTTGATTCTCTAATCATTCCGAAATATGTTTATCAATTTCACGCTGCTCTGCCGGGGGGGGGGCATCGCGGCACGCAATGAACTGGAAGTTGATCTTTCAGCACTATCCTTATCTTCAGGGCAGATGTTTTTATTTTATTTGGCTTATAATTCCTTACTAAATGTAGTATTTCATATCGATGTACTCCGTCTTTGATATGATTTAAATCAAATTCCTCATCATTATAAATATCACGAATACACATCAAATAGTTTCTGGTTGCAATTTTCTAATTTCGACTATGCATAATGTATGCTTTACGCATGCGTGCGTTGAAAGAAATGTTACAAGCAAATAAATATAAAGCTTTTTTTTTTGGGTAAATTTTAATACCCTTTAGATCATAATTCCTCTTTATTTCATAAATTATGGTTTCATATTTTTAATTTTATAATTTCTGCATGCCATCTTACCAGATTTAAACTGATGATCTATAATCCGGAAAAACCGATAATTAGGATTGCCGAAGTCCCGATGAGTCCGGATTAAAGACTTTTGACTGTATATATATATATATGTGTGTGTGTGTAAGAAATATATATGTATAAGAAATAGTTATATATAAAGGTATTACAGTATACCCTCATAACACAAACTCGCTTAAGGTGAACCCTCTGTTAATATGAACAAATCAGCCCTGGCAGCAATGCATATGATCTTATAGAAAGTTTTGTTCGTTAACATGAATTCTAGTTACTATAAATTATGTACTGTTTTTTAGTCTGTCACATCATTAGATTTTATCATTTAACTCAAAATTTAAAAGTTTTTGACATTTCCTCCTGTTCTTTATTCTTCTAGGACTGTGTTCAAAAATTTTCCATTGTACTTAATGGGAAACCTCACAGAATACAATATTCTTTAAAATGTAGTCAGCATGAGTAACATTGCTCAACAATCGAAATTGTTGTGTCAATGATGAGTTTTGAGGAGTTTGTTAATGTAGATTAATGCATTGCCATGTGTGCTGCAGTGGAATCTGGTGTACAAACTGTTATGTATGAGGTATAACAAATATCATCAGAAAAAAGTGAGGAGGACAATATCATTCTGTCCAACTGCCAGGAAATGTTATACGCCTTGGTCACTGTAGAACCTTTTGCTGCAACATTCGAATTGACCACGGGTTTTACAGAAGCCATGAGTGCCATTGGTACCAATTGTGACGTTAGTTAACGTTGTGAAGTTAGTGACCAGTTGAGTGCATTTTATCAAGTTTTAGTACAGTAATTAGTGTAGAGATTCATGTTAACCAGGGTTTCTGTATAAAAAAAAAGGAGGTTATCAAAAACAAAACTGGAAGCATTAGCTCCCATATTGATCCAGAAGATAGGGAATGGCAACTTTAAAACTATTATCTATCTTGCGAATTATATTTCATAGTAAATCATGTTTTAGTAAACCGGAGGAAAATTTGGCATCAGTAGATGAAGATTTGATTCATCAGAAATTTGAAATCCCTTTTTAATATCACGAAATGGCGCATAGAATGAAATATTTCCTTTGTTCCTTTAGAAAGCCAGTATGGCTGCATTATTGTAAAACCAAATGCTACAACTGTATGTAAATAAAAAGAGAACATGATGTATCATTTATAACTTCAATATTTCCCCTTTCTAGGTTTTACTTATTTGATAATAAATATTGATATTTGTTTTAAATAGTCCATTTAAAAAACCTCGTGCAATTTTTAACAAATTTTGTGTTTGCACCCTCTTTTGATGGAGTATTTTTTTCATCCATTAATATATTATTAAAAATGTTTACATTTACTTTATGTTAATTTGTAACACATTTTATTAGTATTTGCTGTTGCAGAGATTTTTTTTTTAAAGACAGAAGTCTCACAAATGGCGCATTCCCCATTGTTTGCTAGGAATTCATATGACCTTTTAAGGATTAATATAGTCTAAATCTGGTTTGGGAGGCCAGCATTGTTGTGATTCTTCCTGAAAGTCATTAATACAAGTCTTACATAATCATTAAAGGTGACTTTAGCTCTTTCTCTAGCAAAGCCAGTGGCTCTAGACTGGTTCAGTGGTATTGAGATTAGGGAATTCTGCAAGATATGAAAGATAGTCAAGCTTATTTTGGCATGTCATCAGTTATGTGCCATGAAGTGTATTGTCATTTTTATGCCTGGCACTTCCTTCTGGATATAATGTTTGAACTGGATAGTTCTCTAGAATATATTAGTATTCCTAAGACTAATTTTCTAAGACTAAGTACAATATATACTGTCCAAGTTTTTCACTCCTGACATTACTGAAACTAGTATTTAGTATGCAATGATATCAAAGGCTTTGTTATAACTGCTTGACCATGAATATTAACTCTCCAAAGCTCCTGACAGGCCCTTTTTGTTGAAATGGATGAGTTCATAAAAATGTTAAGTTCTTTTGTAATTTAAGTATATTGTTTCATGTTTGTGAAATGCATTCATTTTAACACACTATCCTTTTTCACATGACTTCCTTTTAGTTTGACAAATACCATTACTGGGCAAAGTTTTCTTTTCTAGACTGGATAATGTAGCTCTCGATATGTCAAAAAGACTTTTTGTCTTGGTAACAGATATACCAGGAAAACAGCTGGCACAAACAATTTATCCTGCATTGAATCCAGTTTATTCATATAATTTTTGGTATATGAAAACAACTCTGCTAATACCATTGAAAATTCAAACTTCATATTCTTGTTGTTGTAGATAAAATTCATAATCTTCATAAGCAAGTTCCCAACTAGCTTCATGTTGACTTTAATTTAGAGTGCTCTATTTGCCAAATATTTCAATTTCAAATGTTCAACTGCTCCATGTGTGTTGTAATTTGAAAAATAACAATAACATTTGTTTAACACAAAAACTTTTAAAATCATATAAATAATATATTTCTTATTTTATGCTTCATGTAAAGCTGGTCATGGTGCTCAGAAGGTTAATTATGTTAATAGTTTAACAAATTTATTTCTGAACATAGAAGTGGAGGCATTAAATGTGTCAGAAATAAAAACATATTCTGATACTAATAAAGGGTGGTGAAAACAAAAAGAATATTTTGATACAGTTCATCGTGATGAGGACAACAGAAGTTCATGCAATCAGAGTCAGGAAGCCTTTAAATGAAATTGCTTTTATGTAATATGTGACTAAATATCTTTTCAACTTAAACTACATAGCAAAAGTTCCAAAGGCATTAATGAGAATTTTAAAATATTTCATACAAACATAAATGACAATATATCAAATGAATCTGAAGATACCACATTAGTAAAAAAATGGTACAGTGAAGACATTAATACAAAAGTCTACCAAAAGAGATACCATTTTAGATGAGGAACTGTTACAATTTCTATTACTTTGTAAAAGCCAAAATTTAACATTGCCATTTGACATGCTATGAATTATAAAGACGGCAAAAATTGTATTAACATTTCCTAATACGGAAATTATATTATGTATATTTTTAATTTTGCTTGTATCAAATGCATGAGATAAAAGATCGTTTTCAGTATTAAAACATGTAAAAAAAAAAAAAACTATATTATAAAGAAATAATAAAAAAATTTGCATAATTAAAAGCCAGAAAAAAGGATTTTCGAATTAGTTTCATAATCATTTTTTCAAAACTATGGTTTTGACATTTAATGGAATAAATTTGGTTTTCTTAATTTATGATATACAAAAAAAAATTTCTAATTGTATTGATTGTATTGATACATAATCAAATGCACACTTATAATCATACGAATAATGGAAACTGTATTAAAGAATTTTGAAAAACTGATTATTTTTGTTAATTGTTATTATAAACTTATCATTTATTATTTTGTTAGAAAGTTCTTGTTAAAATTATATAACATCTGGGTGTAGGGGCCTGGCAAGAAAAAATGTCTAGGGCCCTAATATAGTCTCTGAGTAGATAATTATTTATATATTCTAAGTGTGTATAAAATCTATTTTATCTATATGGAATTTGAGTGTTTACATCTTAATTTAAAAAATGGGCCTTTTATTAATTTATATTTTTAATATTACCATAACAGTGATATTGTAATCATTTAGATTTTCATAATTGTATAATGGGAAAAAATACTTACAAGTGAATAATATGCACATTGAGAAATGTATTATAACATATTCTGATATGTTATTCACAAACATGTGATTAATGCTTTTTTTATGATATCATAAGAACTGTATATTTTTAATTTTACATTTATTATTTTTCAGCACCTTTTATTAGTATCAGAATATGTTTTAATGTTAGTGTTATGCAAATTGAATTGTTTTAATGTTAGTGTTATGCAAATTAAATTGTCAACTCTTGTTTTAACTCTTGTCAGCAGTAGTAAAATGAAAACTCTTGTCAACTCTTGTGAAATAAAATTTAATTATGATTCAGCATTTATAATATTGTAATTAATCAAGTTATAGTATTAGATGATGGATTTTTGTTAAAATATGTAGTATCTTATTACCTATGGGAATTTAAATATAAATAATGGCCAATGGATGATAGTGAAATCTTTTTCATATATGTCTTTTTTTCTATATCTTTGATGGTCTCTATTAGGAATTTAACATAACAGTTTCATTAGTAATATATATGAGTTGAAATATCATTTTGTTTTCAGTTCTGTTGGAAATTTAACATAATACTTTGATTACTAATATAGTATATGAGTTGAAACATCATTTTGTTTTCAGTAAAATAAAAATACTCAGAATAACAAGTTGCAGAAATGGTGTGCTCAATGTTTTTTAAGTATTTTAAAAACTCTCTACATAATGTAGCTTTCTTAATTTCTAAATATGAACAGTTTAGGAAAAAAATTATTAAATGCTATAAACAAAAAAAATAAGTTACTTTTGAATAATTATGCTTTTAAGCACATTCAGTTTTTCGCTCAACTCAGTAAGTTTACTGTTCTATAAAATGTTCAGAACTGAAAGATATAACCATAAGAAAAATAACTGGCATACAGAATATTATATTATAGTACACTAAAAAGCATTACATTATTTAAAAATAATTTTTAACATAAACCTATTCTGTTGTAAAAATTTTTATTCATGATTATTGATTAGCGATAACTACATTTTATGTAAATTTCTATAGTTTAATTTTTGTACCATATTGAAATCGGTAATCTTTATTAAAAACAGGAACAATTTTCTCAAAAGAGAAATTTTAATTTTGAAATGCAGAACTACATTAAATTTATCTTTTTCAAAAGGGTGGAAATTTAGAAGTTTCTCAAATAAAGAATGTTTAATTATCAATTTGTAATTCAAAGAATAAAATTTTTAAAATGTATTCAGTGATCATGGATTTTATAGAGTAAGTTATTTTCAAAAGTTATTTGAGATATTGTATTTTGGTGTACTTTTCCTCCTCCCTTCCCAGTTCTTTGCATATACATTTTAAATTTTGTTTTACTAATGTATTGCTTTTCTTATTAGGTTCTAGGTTTGGTTAATTCAGGATTATATGCAATAAGCGCAGTGAAATCATACAAGTTATGCAAAAGCAGCTGGTCTTTTCAGTGTATGCACATTTTATTTATTAGCTGGTACTTTTACTGTGTACAAAATTGAAAATTTGAAATTTCTTATAAAATTTCATGTTTTTCCAGGACCTTGATAGTGCACATTAGGAAGACAGCACTGGTTATCGCACATTGAAGACATATATGTAATGGAAAGAAATTCATTTTAGCACTAAGTCATATTGTATAAATATTGTAAATAGCATTAAATATATGAATATTATATATTGTAATATATAAGAATGCAAATTATATTTATTATAGTACTCTATAATCACTTTGAATAAATAGCAAAACATTAAATAAAATTATTCAAAAGGTCTTATGTGCTTCTGATTATGGCAATGTATATGAGAGAGGAGGGGATGCATGAAAAGATTTTTTATGCGAAATGGGTTCATATTCATTTTATGCAACGGGAAAGCCATGAAAATGCCTATAGCGAGTCCATCTCTGAGATTTGAACCAGATTAAACTACCAGTGTGCAGCATTCATCCACTTGTACTCTGATGACCTTAGTAGTCTTCTTTAACTCAACCATGATTTTTACATTTATTCATTTAATCCCTGAGAAGCATGGCATTTTGAATCTACTTATGAAGACTTGTATAACAGCATTTATTGGCTAAATTTGTGTAATTACTTATTTTAGTCTCCAGTTTCTGTTAAATAGCTGAAAATTAGATGTTTTAATTTTCAGCTATTTAAACTTTAAACTTAAACTGACTGTGGTGCCAGACCAAACACTAAAAAAAATCTAAAATTCTATTCATCATTCATATATCATAAGAGAATTCATATAAACAATCATATAGTGGTAATACAAGTTAAATTTTAGGTTCACGTTGTGAGTAACCTATGCAAAAAGGAAAAATCAATAATCTAAATTCAATAAAACTCCATGTTTCTTTAAAAGCCTCCCAGATCAAACAAATGGAGGGACATGGCAGACCACAGTAAATTACACACAAGATAAATACACAAATGCAATTAAAATTCTAAATCAAACACATTTATCAAATTCTTGAATATAATAATACCAAATATAGGATAAACCATTCAGTATTCCACCACATAATTTTACTATCTGTCGCATCTGTCACACAAAATTTCAGCTTACAAAAACAATTAATAATTAAAATTTTTTTCACAAATTAAGAAGTTGTAACATATTTTAATTCTCCAAATTAACCGGTCATTTCCTTAAAATTTCTAATCACTTCTTAATGTTATTTAATTTTAAGTAATAAAAATTTACATATGTGGATAAATGGTTATTAACAAGTCCACCATGGCATTTGGGAAGACAGAGAAAATAATCTTAAAATTTCACTTACAGATGGAAGACAGTTTTTCGGACTGAAGGATCTTTAGTGTCCAATTCACTGGGAGACTGAAATGAGCAAAGATAATTTTTTTTTTCAAAACACTTTCAGAAGCGTCCATTGATTTCAGGAATTGCAGGTGTAGCATATTAAAGACAAATTCTTCAATCAGCCAGGAACCACTTTAAATATGTTCATTGAGTAAGAGACAATTTACTGAACAGTAAGATCTTTAGTGTCCAATCCAATCCACTGGGAAATGAGCAAAGACCATTTTTCTGCCAAAATACTTTCAGAAGCGTCCATTGATTTCAGGAACAAGGGGTGCCTGATACGTCTTTCTGGAACAAATCTGTATCTCATGACAAATTCCTTCAACTAGAATGTCTCAAACATGACTATTCAAGTTCTCCAAAATACATGATGAAGCGGCGAAACTAAATTTTGTGTAGAGCACTTTCGGCACAAACTTCTTAGCTGTAATAAATCTCTTCTGTCTATAACAAACAGATCTAACTGGAAAGCCTCTAACATGACTCTTCAAAGATCTCAATGATACACGATGAAATGGTGAAATCAAATTTTGCGTAGAGCACTTTCTTTGTTCAAACAAATTTTCATCAGCGAGAAAGCCGCGAGAAACCTCGCCTCAGACAGAGGTGCAACCCCCCCCCCGCAGGAGGTCAAGCCCCACCAAACTTTGTCTTTTACTGCTTTACAACTTTGCAATTCAAATCTGTTTCCGAATCCACTCAATAGCCGGCGCTTGCGAGAGCAAGACCCGCAAGGGGTGAAGCCCCCATTCTTTTCTCCCTTTTCTTTCTCTTAGCTTGAAAATCAGAATCAGAATGAACTCTAGCCTGGTGCAAGCACCGAAGTAAACTCTCCTCTCCGCCCCCGAAAATTTCATTGGCATACAAAAAATCATAAAATTAAAATCACACCAATGCCAGAATTTTACTTTATCTAAACTGAGAAAAATTACACCCCCACAACGAATCAAAAACAAGAAAAATCTCAAATGGAGTCCAAAAAAGTAGAACCCCACGATGAATCAAACAATCAGAAGTAAATCTGACAATGCAGTTCCCCCAAAAAACAATGCGGAAATAAGCTTTACGAACCCAATGTGCGAACTAAAGTGGAGCCCCCAACTAACAAGCGGAAACTAAGCATTACGAGAATCCAGTTACCTAAGCGTACAACAACCCCCACTGTCTTGAAGTAAACAAAATTGCAACTATGACAAAGCAAAAGCTAGACGATTTTCATTTCAAACACCATTAGTAAAAGGCAACAACACAACATCCTACTGCCTCCATTGTTAGTAAAAAGGCCATAAACCAATAAACTAGATGTGTTTCCTCGCAACCGTCTCTCACCTTTGCTACACTTTCTATTCAAGAATAACGAGTTAAATAAAGCCTTAACAACTTAAGAATACTTTTTTCCAGATTAAAATATACATGAGTAAAAAAAAACAAGTTAAATAAAGCCTTAACAACTTAAGAATACTTTTTTCCAGATTAAAATATACATGAGTAAAAAAAAAAAAAAAAAGGTGATATCTTTGGTACCAGATCTGAGGTTTTCACTTCTTATTATTTTTTAGATTCTGCTATATATAGGTCTAAGTGTTGGTCTTTAAAACACATGACACCATCTTGGTACGATTTGGCAATTCTTTTTGCAGATGAAAAAGTAACTTGGAAGTAAAGTACTTATCCGGTACAAGTATGAAAAGTAAAATACTTATTCGGTACAAGCTAGTGATTTTCATGCCATTTTTAAAAAAGATTCCCAGACTATCAATATTTATCTAAGTTGGCATACATTATCAACATATGAAAAGTCAAACATATTTTAGCAGTTTTAAATATAAATTTTAGTTCTTAAATAAGGATTTCGTGATAAAGTAAAAAACGAGAGACATTCATCTCTAAAGCTTTCTGTAATTTTTTTGCGATAATCCCTCACCCCAAGTACACAGCAGTCCGTTTTTGATTTAAAAAAAAAAAAAAAAAAAAAAAAAAACTTATTGCACAAACATCTATCTACCAAATATTCTGTTTGTTGTTCCCTGTGGAGATTTTGTGCAAAATTCCTGCAGAAATTTGACATTTATTCCATTGCTGGCAAATTCTGCAAGTGTATTAAAACTAAGTTTAAAGCAAAAAAATCACGGTTTGTTTGTAAAACTGTTAGAATTTGAAATATGACAAAAAGAATGCTCAAGCAAATGACGATGTTTCTTGATTGAATGATTGTTATAATAATGGCTGTCTGAAGAGTGATTACATGCATGGTTGTAAAAGTTTGGCACATTCGACAACTTCTTTTAAAGTTGTGATAATACATAATTATGAGGAAACCTTTCATTTATCAAAGTACCTTAAAATATAACAAAAATCAAATCATTAATGAGCATACTATTGTATAGATAAACTTAGTAATGTATTATATATTAATGTAAAACACAAATACGAATAACGGATTAAGCATTGGTTAAACATTCATAAATTCTACAAATGTCTACATTATTAAGACAATTCATGTCAAATACGATATCATAAAAAAATTAAAAAGGGTGAGATTTACACAATTTTAGGTTAATTCAATAAATTTTATGTATTACTGGGAGACATTTTCTGTAGTAAAGGATAAAATTTAAAAACGGGATTCTGTGATCTACTACAAAGATGGGAAGAAAAAGCTGGACATTTAACAGGTATGCCCTGTATTTTTTAATAACTTAAAGCTATAATATAGTAATATTGAAGGATTGATAATTTTTTTTCCTGTGAAACACACCTGCAATGAATGTATTTTTTCAAATTTTATTACATGTTTTAACTGTTAAATATTAAATAGAATAATTACTTAAACCATTGATTTAAAAAGAAGAAACATAAAATGTCTGCAAGGTTACTATTAATAACTGATTTTACAAAAGGAAAAAATATGCATAAAATAAATTAGCAATTTCTTTTCATGCTTAATCAAATTTTAAAAAAATAAATTCAATCTATTCCTTCAGATTCTAATTTAAGACCAGAACATTCTGCCTTCCTAATTATCTTTGGTACCAGATCTGAGGTTTTCACTTCTTATTATTTTTTAGATTCTGCTATATATAGGTCTAAGTGTAGGAAATTCACTTTTGTAAGTGTTATTTACTAGTCATAATTGTTTTTAGTTTTTGTCCCTTGTAATTCCTGCATTTTATGGTTGTATAACATTTTGAAGTGACCATAGTTGTAAACGTGTAGGTAGTTTCTAGAAAGGGTGTTAGAATTCTTATTTCAATGAAATCATATATTCAAATCATAACAAGTATTATAAGTTCCAAAATTTTAACAAATATTAAAAACAAAAATGTTATGCCAATCGTTATGCCATAGTAAATATTTCAATTTGTTACAAAAATTCGGGAAAAAATTTCATTTAATAAAAATAAAAAATAAATAGAAATAAGTTAATTCTAGAATGAATTTTTAAGGTTTAATGCCAGTTAAAAGAAACATCTATGTATGGAGGGATAAAAACAGTTTAAGTAACTACATCATATTTAGTACTCAAAGTAGTACTTTTCCATTAAAATCATATCAAGAATTTTTAGTGCCATATTGATAATTTTGCTTTAATGAGTTCTGTTGATTTAAACATCAAAATGAGATAACAAGGGATTAGTACGTATCACTTGTATGTAATTATTCTAATCAGCTCTCAAACTGTGATTCATTCGAAGCTGTAGTTTACAAAACTGAATAGAAATTACCTCTTGACATCCTAAGTAAATGAATCGTACAAACTTAAGAAACATGCGATAAAATGAACCTTATTTGCGTTTGGACACCTTTGTAACCTGGTATGAACAAAGTTCTACAGCCATTTTAATTTCATGAGGTGGTTATACAGTCTTTGAGAAAAATACCTTTTCCTGAAGAAACAGAAGTCTCATAGTCTGCCAAAATCCCAAATTGTAAAACATGTTGC